TGTACAGAAAAGCAGCTCTTCACTATGCTAAACAAAAGAAATGTGAGTAAATTCTCTGGAATACTTCTCCCTTTTAAGCAGAGAGAGATGTGGCCTTTAAGTCAAGTGTTGTGTGCCACATCTTGCACACAGCCAGACATCCTACTAGGGCCCAGTCCTGGTATCTCGGACACCAGATCAAATTAATCAAATATTTTTTCTTAGTTTACACATATTTTAAGATCTTCAAGCAAAAGTGTTTATTTCTGAACACAGTTTTATATAGCATTGTTTTGATATATGTATAGTGGAGTCATACACAGCATGGTCTTGATGTGATAGTATAGTTTACAGGTTGCTTTTACCCTTCTCTGAACACCCTTCTTATATTGTTGTTGCTCTCCAGACCTGTTCACCCTTTTCCATCCCTTGGCTGGTGTAGCAGAGGTGATAGAAGGACTTTGTAAGCTATACAGTACTTCAATTTGACAAAAGGAAAAAAAAAAAAACCCTCATAAAACAAGAGCCTTCTTTCCCTTGATAGATGGCTGGTAGTTAAAGCAATCGATGCAATCTCTAGTGCATCTATCATCAATTTGTGTTTGCACAAAGACAACACAGAAACAAACAATAGAAACTAAGAACAATACTTGAGCTGAAGAAGTGGGGTTTAAAGCTTTGTCTTTATCAAACTAACAATAACATTTTATGCACTGTCTACGTTATAAAACAATTAAAAGCTTGGAGTCAAACTCTGGCTTCTTAAAGGCTTTGTAATTTACTTTCTGGAAGCAAGTACTGAGAAAAAGAAGCCTTTGCTACAGTTGGAAAAACACCTGATCTTCTGGTTTGATGGTCACACACACACCAAAAAAAAGGGCAAAAGATTGTTTTATCCAAACTATGCAACATATAATTTCTGAATGCATTTTTTTGTTAGAATAGTGAAAACCGAATTAAGCACAGAGTGATGTCATTCTAGAGCAACAACAGCAAAAAGCGGCGTATTTGATTATGAAAAGCATATGAAACATTCACAATTCCTAAATCTCCCCATATTTCATTAGATGAAAAATAATTGTGAAGTGTTTCAGTAGGTCCAAATCACAATCTTTAACACCCTCCCACACCTTTTAGTAGTTAAAATGTTTTGTCCAGCTCTGATTCTGTCTTGGTGATGACTCTACCACAGTATCCAGTATTATATCCAACTCAATCATGTAGCACTTTTCCTTCTTTAAAAGCAATTACGAGCAGGATCTCCAAGGAACACAAACTAATGCTTCACTGTAGGGGTGTGGCAGCAGTTTAAGTGGAATTCACATGACAACTAGCTTTGAATTAATCTGCTTACCCGGTAATAAGCTAGATGTCTTCCCTCAAAATACACTGTTGTTCGGTACTCCATAGGTATTATCGGAGGGTTAGGGTTTAGAAACTGCGGGCATTCTTCTTCCTGGAGAGAGAAACATTTTATACGTTATTCCAAATAAAAAGTCTTATCACAACAAGCTTCAGTGGCCTTTGGACAATGGAATGATTGTTCTGAAGAACTTCATGCTTAAAATACAGTGACAGATTTGATTACACCCTTTCAAATTAGACATGCTAAAAATGACTGCAGCATATGTCAAAGCTGTGGGTGATTATCTTTCCGAGCCTTGAAATCTTGTTCCCCTCATTGAAGCAAAATAGTAAAAGGAACAAAAATATCCTTTCAGGAGTTATTCAGTCTCACTGCCCCTCCTCAATCACACCCTTAAATTCCCACCCCCGCACTGTCACTAAAAAAAAAAAATAATCTTACACTTCTGGAGTTAACTTTAGAATCACTTTAAAATCCCTAATTCAGTCAACTGATACGAGAGAAAAAGCAAAGAAAACATTGAAATGTTCTAATAAAAACCTAATAATCTTATTTTTAAACATTACCATATTTTGTTTAATCACATCCTGTACTGAAGAGGACTCTTCACAGATATGTCTCTTCCAGTCCCACTGGCAATTCCATCTATTGCTTGCACAGGAATAGCATCTACAAATATAACATGATAGTCAGGACAAACTGTCAGGCTTTTCCCCCACTGACAAAAAAAGTAAATGAAGTTCCATCTTTAGTCTTGGAGGGTAGATCAATCTGTTACAGTGTCCTTACTATATTAAGCTGAAAACTTCAGAGTAAGAACAGTTCAAGAACCCCAGAAAGCTATTTTCTCCCTTAAATATTTGAACAAGGATGAGAAAACTACAGCATCTTGCACAAACTTCGAGATCAAGTCTGAGAGGACTGGAAATGATCTTGCTCAACCGTCATACAGAAGATGGAGCAAAGTGGGGTTTGGGTTGGCTGGCCCTGCCCTGGGGCAGCAACATCTCCAGCAGGACACATGATGGGGGCAATCAGCTTTGACTGTCCTATTTGAAGGCACTGCAACCCAAAGCACCAACCTATCCTTTGAGGGAACGAGTAGGTAAGCGGACGTCCACCAAGCTCACATGCAGATACATAAGCAGCTACAGAAATGGCAACCCAATGAACTGGCCTTTAATTATGTGTATCATGAATATAAACCACACGGAATGGGAATGTTACTGGCTCACCTGGTGCCCCTTCAACCATTTTTAAACTCCATTAAAATATAAGAAAAAGGATTTGGACACTGGCAAATACTGAGAGTGCCAATGGCTTTATTATGAAATGATTGAGTAACTCAGCTGTCAGTTACCTGAAACACCATGTTACAGGATCCAAACACCCAAATTAAGGAGCCAAAATACTTACGGCTGATTTTCAAAAAGATTCATTGCTTCTTCACAGTCATAAAAAGGGTAAGTATGTGATGCAAAGAATATCTTGTTCTCTCCAAAGGTTAACTGAAGTGGAACTGAAACATGATCTAACGCAAAAGAAAAGAAATTATCAAAGTGGCTGGTGAATTCTTCAGCTCTTGAGCTGAATGATGCAACGATAATACTTTTATTATTTTACAGGACTTAAGCAAATATGTAACTATGCTGTTGACACTCTGGATCTCATGACCTGTTCTACTTTAGTTCTATAAGCTTTGTTTTGTCTTTTTAAGCTTTACAAATTTTTCAGCACACGGTTGTCAGAAGAAAAGCAGAGATGGGATGAAGGGAAGAAGTAAAATTACAGAATAGCTTTCTTTCATGGAAGTGTTTCTCAGCAGTGCTATCGTCATGCTAGAATTTTAAAGAGTCTAGAAGAATAAGGAAAACTGAGTAAGGAGATAATTGAACATAGATGAAAACTGGCACAACAGTCATTTTAAATAAAACATTTTCTTAAATACGAATATGTCTGCATGTAAAATTACTTGTTTCATTTGTGGATTAAAACTGTCATCGTCATGTGAATTAAAGCAAGTCATCTTTGTGGTTAATGCCCAGCAGTGCCTGCCGTGCTACGTTACCACAGGCACTTGTGATCTTCAGTTTGCCGTACGTGATTTCTCCACAAAAGTACTTCTCGTCTGGGTCATTACTGAACTAAGAGTGGAAAATTTATCTTCAGAAACTGGTGCTTTCCTCAGCGAAGCTGTTTGAAATACCTTCTGCAGTAATCATTAAGCCCTTGTGACAACCTATTTCACAAGCTATTGGGAAATTTCAAACTCTGCTTTCCTTGAACAGGTTCTTGGAAGAAGCTGCTTGGCTGAAGTCACCTTTGGCTGCCCTGGGTCCCTTTGAATATTACAGCCTGGTAGGAATGCCAGGGGATTTCCTAACAACAGGACCGTGAAAAAGCATCCCTTCTCTCTAAAAATGTCCTATTCCCTTTGGAACCAGCCACAATTAAATTAACCCAGAATTTTCCAGACTCAGTAGGGTTTCTTAACAGCAATTGGATGGCTCTGGACTTTGGTCACATGCCACCAGGAACCACTGCCTGTGTTCATAACTGTCTGCCTTCAGCCAAAGTCTCTGCCAAGCATCTGAGCACCTTTATATTAATTTTGCACATCCCTTCGGATGGATCCCTGTGCAACCAACTCGGAGAGGCATATTATTTCTAGGTGACTTGGTCATAATAATGCCATCCCTGACAGGCTTCTAGTCTCACATTTTATGCTGGAAGACATCAAGATGTCATGTTTATCAACCCAGTTGCTTTATGTCCTGCTTTACAAAATATTTAGGGAATGTGAATTGGCCCTAAATAACAGAATGCTGCTTTAACACTCAGCATAATCTGATACCGTGACACACACCTCAGCTAGTTTAAAACTTAAAATTAAGATTTTAACATCATTACCCTTCCTGCAACTAAAATTGGGTTTTGACCTGTTTCAGCCTTAAGAGAATTGAAACTTATCTTAAAAAGTGGTTCCAAGCACTGCTCTGGCAGTTCATGGCTGTTATGATACGTATAAAAACCTTATCTTCAAGGGTACCTCTGCAAGATGCCAGAGCACCTGCTTCTTTTTTTTTCTTTGTTGTTTTTTTTTTTTTTAAACTTGATACATAATAAGCAGTGTTGTGTAGCCAGTTTTATTCCATGTGTTTATGCATCAAGATGTATGAACTTAAACAGCATGAATAAAGCACTATCTAGGAAATATACCAAGAGTTATGGTTGGCAACAGACCGTAAGCATATAATCAGCAGTTCAGAACAATGATACAGCTTTAATTATATGACCACATATTTTTCTACTGAACTTAACTACTGTAGAAACTGGAGGGCTCACAGCAGAAGAGACAGAAGGCTTTATGTGAAAAAAAGGACAGCCCTTGAACTACAGCTGACTAGAGGAAAACTAAGATATCAGCGATGAAAAATTTCACATCTGAAGAGTATACATGGCTTTTCTGGCCCCACAACTCAGAGTCACTAGGCTAAGATTGAAGGAGTTGGGTTTTGTTTGTTTGGGACACAGAATAGCAGCTCTCTGGATCCATGTCTACGCCTCTGTCAAGCTCCTGTTTCAGGTTCCTGGTAGAAACACTGAGAAAGCTACAGCTTGTAAATACAACAATGGAAAAAGTTTGAGCAAACTTTTTTTTTTTAAATTTTTAATGTTTGAAGGGACAAGGTTTATCCATAGACTGGGGTAACAGGCTGGAAGAGGAAAAAAACCTTTTATGTGGCTCATGTAAGAGCATTAGAAGCACATTAGAAGCAGTAGGCTATGTGCTTTCTGCTTATTATACACGGAGGGTAGCAATATTTCTTTACCTTGACCTTTCGGTGTTGGAGGAATTATATCAGGCGGATCACAGATAATAACCCCTTCTTTTAACTGAGCATAATGGGTTGTTTCACCAAATGTGCACAAAACCTTGTCACTCTCAGCCAAAGCTGGCAACGGACTTACAGTCAGTTCCACCTAGAAACAAAATTTACAAAGGGTAAAATAACTTGAAAGCAACAAACCAAGGCCCAGTAAGATTTCTGGCCAGAGAATTTCAACTGCTCTTTCTTTTTGCCAGTGGTGATATTTTGACTAGTATCACAGAAGACAGTTCTCCTTTTCAATTTTTATTTCTTCCCATCTGCTAACCCTTTTTTTCTTATACCTCTACCAATTATTCCAGGCTGCATCTATGTTTACACCGGTACAAAACCTCTTGTCCTGTCAATGCATTAGGTCACAACAAAAATGTCCGTACAGACACACCCAAAGCCTTTTATTCTTGTCCTCAGCATCCAGTTTAGCAACAGTAAACAGAGTAGTTAACACTTAAATCCTGACAAACTTAATTAAAGTTACATGAACCTTAGGTGTTACTAGTGAAAAATGAAACCAAGGCTGGATGGGCTGGAAAAGCTGGAGTTTGAAAGGGCTGCACAGAAAAGTGGCTTCCTCAAGACTCAATGTACATGCAAGAAACCCACTGAGATCTATCATTACTGCTAAAAAAGAAATTTTGAGAGATGGTGAGATCTTAACCTCCTCAAGGAAATTACCAATACAGAGTACATGTGAGAAACGAAAAGCAAAATAAAATGGGAAAACTTAGCAAGGAAAGAGGAAAAAATTGAAATGAAATTTTGGATGCTTTCCTTGATTTAATGCTTCAGGTGTGTTAATTATACAGTTTCACTTTTTCCATTTTGTATTGCCAGGAGAAATGACAATCATCCCTTTCTCACTGAAACTGGTCCACTACGTTATGTGCTTTTTTTTGGTGAGTAAAGGAATCATGATGAGACAGTGGCATTAGTGATCTTCCAGGGAGTATATGTAAACACTCATGTGAAGTTGGGTTTGGTTTGGTTTTGGATTTTAGGTATTTTGGTTCAGATGCTGATATGAGACTTGTCAGCACAAGTTGACAAGATCTGAACTAAGAGAAAGTGTGGATTTTAAGTAGACTAGTTACACTCTACTGACATTTTTATTCAACATACTAATGGCCTTAACACAATGCTGTTTACATCATTTAGGAATGGTATTAAAGTGACTTGAATGAAAGTCTCTTTCTGATTAATAGGGATTAAAAAGCCATTTTACTGGTTTTACTTGCTGAGCGCCCCCAGGAAGCCCTCAGTCTGCGCTGGCATGCTCCATTTGGAGTTGGAGCAAGATATGCCACCCTGGTCACACTCTGAACACTCGGTTTTGTTGCCAGAGAGTCATTTTGCATGCTGAATTTACCTTCTCCATGTACCCAGACACACTTTGCTGTGTAGGCAAATCCACTGCTGATTTTAAAAGCAACAGCTTATGGCTTCGCTGCTTACTTAAGTTTATGCTGTAGTACGCTGAAAGGGCAGCATGAAGTCTCCCCTATCAACCACTTTTTATGGGTTATACAACGTTGTGCAACACCTTCATAATATTCAGATAAATGCAAGTGCTTTATCATCCCTACTTGTGCATCATTTCGGTTTACAGAGAAGGTCAAAAAGAGCATTGATTAGAATAAAACATGAACTGCAACATGCAAAACCAGCAGGCCAGAAACAGCACTGTGAGAAACGCCAGAGACTGAGATAACCCAAACACTATCATATTCCTCGTCTCCACTGTCCATAAAGAAATGCAGATACTCATCTTTCTGGTAGTCACATCAATGTGCTTTAAGAACACGCAGGAAAAGCATTTTCTTGTCATACCTTAGCAGGGGCTCTGCGACTCATATTTAGAGGGTCTGCACTAATGATAGTCATGCATGTGCCACTCGGACTCCACAGCCAGTGGTTCTCCTTATCGGCTGTTCCGCAGTCTGCCTTCTTTGTGCACCTGACAAAACAGGAACAAAACCCAAAGCAAAGCAATATTATAGCTGGCCTCTGCTTTCTTTGAACTACACAACAATTTCAGGATTAGAGCCTGAAATTACAACACAAGGTGACTGGGAATTTGCTTTAATATTGACTATTCAGGTTGCTATTATTAAGAGAATTTTTTAAAACACTTAAATGCAATTTTTAAGAGAATAAGTGGTTGAATAAGTATTGATGATTCAAGATGTCAAAAGCAAGCAGGGAAACATGCCTATATTATTTCAGACACCACCTTGGGTTAGACAACCCAAATCCATACAGAGGCAGCAATATTTAGCACAGGAGCCATCAGGCAGTGCAGCCGCTGCCTGCTCATCTGAAACCAGGCTGATAGTCTTCATTGTAATATATAACAAAGCCCTGAGTGAGTGGGCACAGCCTGTTTTTCCTGCAGGTCAGGCGGCAGACACCTATGTGTTCCCAGTAATAAGACACCCCACTCCTGAGAGTAAAATGCAATCGAGAAGCATTGCTGGGGGCACACAGGCTGGTGAAGAGCTCCTGTGAAACTCTAGCACCAGAAATGTTACACCTGCAGTGAGTGTTGTCATTAACCCCTGCCACTATGTAAGACCTTCTCTCTGCCAGGGCACTGTCACCATCATGGAAAGACAATGGTGCTTGTACAGCCTCTCTGAAAATACCAGGAGATTCTCCCAGCTCAAGTACAGGAAGGGCAGAAAGAAGAGATGCTGCAGTGCAGAAGCTGCACATGTGGCTACAGAGGCTTGTTGAAGTGGGTGTGGGGAGCCTCATGCGTATTCTACCCATTCTGTGCAAAGTTTAGGAGAAAATGCTGTAGGATCTCTGGCTGCTGTAGCAGAAGACTATTAACACATCAGGGGCTTTAGCACAGCTCAGTTGCTGCACAGTTCTGTCAACCTTACCCTTAACTGTATCATTTACGTACAGAGTCTACATTCAATAACATATCCCTAAACACACTATGAAGTGCTGCATTTGATCATAAGCCAGAACTACCTTCAGATGAGAAAAATACTAGAAACCAAACACTTTTTTCTCCCTATTATAAATAAATCCTAGAAAATTCAAAAATTCACATTCGCCTGTTGTCAGAGACCATTCATATTTTGAGATATTGAGATCATATCAGAAACCTGAAGGGAAATGCCTTTTGTATGATATATGACATGGGCTTCAACTCCCAGCAGCCCAGGAGGAGTTCGAGGTGTATATTCCAAATTCCCAGGTTTTACCCACAGCAACTGAAGCCCAGGCTGGAAGAGTTACAGTGCATTACAGAAACCTGCATGCACCTCATAAGTTTCTCTGCAGCACTCTGTATTACGCTACACATCAAGCTGATAGGTAACTTAATGTGATAGTTCACATTTTCAGAAAGGAAGCTAGAAGCCTGAATTCATCTGCATACTATAATTAAATAGCCCCTTTGTTCCAACAGCAAGTACTTAGAATCATGAATTCCCAACCGCTCATGCCAAGGGGTTAATTAACTTAGTAGTCAAAAAGAGAGCTGCAGGACCACTCTTCCCTCTCGCCACTCCAATCAACGCAGAGCGCAGAGACATTCCAGAGCTGTTCACTGCTGTCCTAGTTTATATGTGTTTGAATATTAATTCAGTTAACCTCTGCAGATAGTCTGCCAAATGCCACTTTCTGCTCTCCCACAGTTAGGTGAGGGTTCAGTGTAGCTACATATCTTGATAGATTACATTTATACAAAACCAGTGTTCGAGCTATATATTTATGTCAGACATGAACAGTTTTTCTCTTATGCTGTTATACACTTTCCCTCTCAAATATATGCTCTGTTTTCTGAATTTTAAATAGGGAGCACTCTTTTAATTTCTGGGAGAACATTTGGCTGTACAGTATAGAGAGTGATAAAACATGCAGTTAGAAGATGTATAATGATTTTCAGCACCAGCAGAAAAGCATGTATTTTCCCAAACTAACCAAATCTGGAGAAGTCAATAGGGACTTACCTGTGTGTACAAAAGACTGGCATCAATGTCTGCATCATAAAATTAACTCACTATCAGGAGCCAAGTACAAGAGCTAGGATTGCTCTGCTGAGCGAAACCCACAGCACGTGCCAAAATTTGAGCTATTCCACTGCGTGCACCTGAGAAAACACCAGTAGCACTCACCTGCCCTCTCTCACGCACCAGCCACAGTACGGATCCCTCGCTTGAGTACACTTCTCACAGTCTGAATATTTGTGGCAGTCCTGTACAGGCAGCTGATGCACCTGGAGAAACGTAAGTAAGGCAAATTGTAAGGGATCTGAAGGAGTCACTAGGAGATGGAAACGTTTGTGGATGGGGTTCTACAGACCCGTTGCCTGTGGCACCAGAATACCTGAACCTCAGAGATCAGCTTGATCTTAAGAAAATACATACAAAACCAGAGTCTGGCTATTTCCCCCTTAACAAAGTCCAAATTCACACACTTGTGCTTTTTTCACTCCAATATTTTCTAATCTCTCTCCAAAGTAACACAGAACATTGTTATAAACCAGAAGGACAAACAAGTCTTACAAAAATTAAGCTTTTCAGTTATGTTAATTCTGGAAATCTGCATTATAGCAGGCGCCGCAGGACAGAAACTGCATCAACAACTCTCTGCATTCAAGAAACAGCTACTGCAGGATGGATATTTTCAAAAGGCAAAATTGGTACTGGCTAGATCATGTTTTAAACAGAATATTGCCCCCTCCATATCACTAGCGCGGAGATAAAATTGTTTGGACACATGACTATCAGTGGCACTGCTGGCCAGAAGGCATCTCGGAAAGTCTGCAAGCATGAGAGAGAGAACCAGGGCACTTCAAGTTACTGCGCTTGTCCATGCATAACCCTCCACTGCGCAATAAATTTATGAACGAAACTGGAAATAATTATGATAGGAAGCAGCAGGGAAGACAGCATCATCAGTTCTCATGTCTCAGTTCCTCAGTAAATATATGGCTTCTGGTTTTCATTTCCTTTGGTGCGGAGAATAAACCATTTTGCCTTTGGTGCACATAAAAAAGAGCCAGCACACAACCATCCCTTCCAGTTACACTGCTGAAATTATGCAAGAGGAGAATGGGACATACATCTTCCTGTTGATGACTACGTTTTACTTTCAGAGAGTACAAAAAGACTAGCAACAGTAACTCTGAGGTGTAAGCTTCCTTTTATTCTTCCTTATCCTCTCACTGAGAACAACTGGCAATTACAAAGCTACTTTGAAAGTCTGAATTTGGCCTCTTGTTCCACATTTGGAGAGTTCAGACTGACTCAGTTAAGGAAAACGTCAATATGGGGTAGTTTTCTTGCATTTATTAATATGGAGGTTTACCTTTTCAGCACTTTCTTCTTCCACTGATTCTTACCTAACTGGAACTGAGTTACTGGCACTCTGTTTCACTAACTGGTACCCATGAGTAATTTAATATCCAGTGAATGGCTTTTTTATGACAAAGTATTTATTTCATAATTCTGGCAGGCAGAAACAAGCCCCAGAGATTGCCGTCTCTGCAAGTTTTATGTAAACTTAATGGATTTAAAAAAAAAGAAGAAAGAAAGCAGCTGTTTACAGCCAGCTTCAAAATGCAGAGAAACTAATTTTAGAGATTCTCTAATTGGCACTCTTAATCAAAGAGAATGGTAAAAGCTAAAACAAGCAAACAAGCTAGTGATTGTGGTAAGTGACTGCCACAGGCTTCTGTTTTCCTCCCAGTATGGTATATACCAGAGGGAATTTGGGATCCTACCAGCGATGATCACTTTTAATGAAGTAGCATGAGCACGGCAGGGGTGGTACACTCCTTTTCAACTCCCCCAAGAAGCTGCAAGGGGTTTCTCCTGCTCTCTGCCTGAGCTCTGGGAGCAGAGGGGGGAGGAGGGGACTGACTTTTGAAAGGATTTGCTCCAAGCCACCCACTGCTATTAACACAGCAGCAGAAGCTGGGAGGAGAAGGGGGAGGAGAAGTGAAACAGGAAAGCAAGAGCTTTTTTCTCACTACAGCTCTTAACCTCTGTATTGTTCATCCCTGTATTTCTCTCTATGATTTCTTTTTAAAGGCTGCTTCACGTTATCACCCATCACAATATCACTTTCACTTTGCTCAAGTGCTTACAGAGCCTGAGCAATCCAAATGCTGAGGCAGGCTGCATCTGCCAGGTAGCTTAGCATTAAGCACGCCTATCAGCACAGCTAGCCTGCCCTTTATTGTTTACCTTATTTTAAAAAGCTCTAAGGCACTTTAACTCCCAGGGCAGGGTTCTGGTATCTCTGTTCCCACAACGCCCAGCTGTGCTTAACCCCTGAAGCGCATGTTTCAGCATTTATTCTTCTCCCTTTGCTTATGTCGCTTCGTTTCTCCCAGCTCCGAAGGCTTCCATTCTCCTCCTGTCTATCTGCTTCTAAAAGTGGGTGGGACTGCTCACTGTAATTAACTCCTGGAGATGACAGTAATGTAAAGCCATTACAGAATTCCCAACTTTAGTTATTCATATTTAAGCAGAAGAGGTTTTGTAAAAGAAAACTATTATTCGCATTATTCAGAAACTACAGTGTCTGTGAGAGCTACCTGGAACAGATTAAACTGAGATTCTTCCTTTGGCAGAAATTTGCCACTTTCTAAATTTAAACATTTTGTAGAGATGGATTTTTTTTCCCCCCAAGTTGTCTCTGAAAAATTCGTCTGTGGCCTTCCTAAATTCTGCCAGTTCAAGTAGACTGTCACCAGAAAACTTGTCTTCCTTCAAGGCTGCTGCCATCCCTTACGCTGCTCAGTGGCTCACACCACTGCCTGGTGGCTTTTAAGGCCTTTTAACCCCAGGGCTTTTAAGACACGTGCCCGCTTGTCAAACGGAGTGCCAGGCCAACCAGGCTTTTGTGGACAACACTGAAGTTGGGAGTTCTGTTCTAAATCTGAACAGAAGTATCAGCTACTCCAAAAACCACCCAAAAATGGAGTAACCTCTCTCACACACTGTCATATTATTAAATACTTTATCAGTCACTTATCTGGTGCTTTTTCCACCTGTGGATTCCAGCCTGAAAACCTGTTAGAATGTAACACACGCACAGCAAAAAAAAATTATATTAATCTTCTTATAAAACGGAAAGAGAACATTCTCCCCACACCATTTTTCCCAAATATTCTCCTTTCACAGTCCCCTCTTTCTCCCCATGTTACCACGGCTGGAGCATTTCCCACTTCCCATTCCATGTCACTGTCGGTGCTGAGGACGGTTGCAGCCCGTCACCCACCCCATCCTGGAGAGCTGCTGAAACACACGTTTGAGGATGGCAGCTCCTGCCACCACAAAGAGAAGCATCAGCAGAGGGTTACTGCTGGAAGTGAAGGAGAAATCTGGCATTCCTCTGACCTCCTTCTTTTTTTTTTCCCCTCCCTTCTTTACAAACATCCATTGTGCCTCACCTGCAGCCACAGAGAAGGGGAACCTAAGACAGGCTGCCTGTGCCTTTCACAGCAAAGTCCGACCTTTCCCTTGCTCGGTTGTAGCAGAAGCTCAAACAAAAACGTTTCCCAAAGTTGTCGTTCTCTCCTCTGCTTCTTATTTTTTGACAGCAAGACCCACGAAAACTCCTGGCAGCTTTACAGATGTGTAAATGCTATTGTGTCAGCCGCCAGCATCCTGAAGTACTCTTGAAAAGGACTGCTGGCAGCTAGACTACCTGCTGACACCCCGCGGACATCACACCGAGCACCAGGGCTGCCTGACCCCGCGGTGTGCTGGTGCCACGCATCTCCATTCCATCCTTCGCACAGAACCCATAAGAGAGCTTAACAGTGAACTTGCTTCCCGTTCCCAATTGCTAAGCATCAAGGATGTAGCAGTTGTCCAAGTCACAACAACTGAGTCCATCAGCTCGGACTTGAGAAAGGTCTTCATACCTTCAGGAGCCCCCTGGATGGGGTAACGTCCAGGAACAACTGAGAAATGTACAAATCTCAGGTAAAGTTGCAGAGAAAGCAAAAGCAGATCTGGTCCACAACGCAAGTGGAGACACGTTACCTTGTCTGTGGTCATCACATACAGATTTTCTTGGGTTTGGTCAAGAACCAGGTCTTTCTTTATGGGTTTGTTTGGTTCAATACTAAGAGAGCTGTACTCAGCTGCAGTGGATGCCAGGAACACCTATTTCATGGAACAAAGAAAGGTGGTTAATGTTGCTTTTTTCCCCCCAAATATTACCAGTGAAAATCTGTGTTTACTCAAGTTCACAAATTCACATTAGGGAAAACATTTCAGTTTGAAGTATATGGCATCAAAAGCAGCAATCAAAGCATAAAAGTCGTGAAAAGAAATTGCTCATTGCTCACAACAGGTAATATTTGTGTGATTTTTGGTAAATACTGACTTATTTTAATGCTGTGAAGTTCAAATTCTCAACATGGAGCCTTTGCTCTTGAAGGTGTTAAAATCTGCTGTCCCCCCATTACAGTGACCAACAGTTTCAGTTTCAAATTTTAAACTATGCAGTGGCACGTGGCCATCGCTCCCCTGCAAGCAGAAGGGGCTTGGTGCTACAGTCTTGGTAGTGTAACACCACAAACGTGAACCCTTGAGCCCCACACCACACAGTCAGAACTTAGCAGAGCTCCAGCTTGGGCCCACTATTGCCACCTCTACACACTGAATGGCCAGAATGATTATAAAATGGAAACTTGCTCGTAAGCTACTATGGGCTGGAACAGACATAAGGCTAGAGCAGCTGTTAGATTACCTAAGGCTGTTCATACAGGGCTCTCAGTAGGTATCTAATCCTTCGGGAAAAGCGTCATTCAGGCGATACTAATTCAACCTGTGTATCGGATAGCTGAGGTACATCAGAAATAACCTGCGTTTTCTTTGAAATTAAAAATACCAAGCTCCAAGAGAATTTACTCCTAGCATGCAAGCTTATTAATCACATTTACTTCCAGAGTAGGAGTATGCTATCACTACAGTTTGTGACCTTTTAAACATGTTTGTCTTTTAAGTCTGATTCGTTACCTTAAGAATTTTACCATTCGACGTTCCCAGAAAGGCCACGGTATGCCCATTCTCCACAGCCACAGTGACGGCGGTGAGATTCACCCCTTCTTTTTGTAGTACCGGCTTCTCTATAACACCATTCTTACTTCCCAAAAGGTACGGCAAGTGCTCGGAGCCACAGGGGAAATTTTTGCTTGCATTCTAATAAGGAATAGCAATACAGAGCGATGTTAAACATTCAGATCACTAACTCCTCGCTAAGAATGAAGCGCAACCCTCTTACCAGACAGTACAATACCCCTCAGACACAGAAGAATAGAATGAGAGAAATGGATTGTCTGGCCATTTTTCCCCAACCAACAGGCAGCAATCAGAAAGCAGCCTGCTAATTGCAAACTGCTTCAATCCTTTCACTTTCCAGGAGCCATGGGGAGAGAAAATTTTTTGTTTCTATTCCATTATAGCAGCACACTTTAAAAAGTAACCAGTTTGTTTAATTAAAATGAACATGCCATAGAGATTTAGTTGACTAATTTTGGGTTGAAGACTGGTTTTTTTGATGCTGTTTTGTTTCTTAACTTGCTGCTATCCACAGAAAAGCAATTCACTGGCAACTGTCTCATGAACTTCAACACATTCCCTCTTCACTACGCTTTAATCCTGAGCTGCAGGGAGTGCCACCAGAAGGACGTTCATTCACACCTTGCCTTTCCTGCTATATTTGGTAATGAGACTCTTTTTCTGATCTGAAATCTACAGCTCCTTTTTGCTGGAAGCCACGGCCGTTCCACTTGTCACATTCAGGACTGCTACGTCTGATAGTCACCTCAGTTGCAGGGTTACTACAGTGAGTAGCACTGGTGTTTGGAAGCAAAAAAGTGTGGCTTCGTATCAGTGCTAGCAATCTACTGTGTGTGAGGGCTGTGGTTTCATGAGATGAAGGATTGTGGGTCAATACCAACATCAGGTATTCCCATACCCTGTCTCCTCATCTGTTCACTCCTACTTCTGGACCGTAGCGCACCACTTCTCAAGCTGTGCTCAAACAGCTGCCTATGCAAGTGTGTACCTTGTTCGGGCTGGGGAATTAGGGCTTTGACATGGGTTGAGTGTTCTGGGCAAAAACATCCTAAAGTTAACAGAAATGCTGAAAACTGCCTCTTAGAGGCACATTCATGAATTGAAGAACAGTATCTGGAGGGGTGTAACAGTTCCCACCAAAACACTTGGAGTCAAGGTAATGACAAGCCATAAAAAGAAAAGGAAGATGGCCATCACACTATGGAATTATTTTGAGCCAGCGAAAAATACGACCACCACGTGAATGTAAGAAACATGCATATTTCCAGTTATCTGAAACGTCAAATGCAAGTAAGAAACAACACTGAACTCCAGATATCACCAACAAGATTCTTAATAACACCTAAAAACATTATGTTTGCTGCGACCAGAATTGTCTACAGTGATCATCCAGAAGCTGATCATGGGCATGACTCAGTGATTTACATACCAGGAGGAACCCTTTAAAAGAAATGCATTTATGAAACCAATATCCATCTTTCAGAAGACATCAAATCTTTTTTAAAAGACTCAAAATTATGACTATCTTACCACTTCTGGCTTGACCTGTTCCACAACACCCCCCAACCACATTCCATTTCAATAGTGAATCCAGCTATTGAGCGGTCAGTCATCTGATCTCACTATAGTTTAGCTCAAAGCCACCCAAACCCACGCAGTTGTATACTTTCTACTAATTCTAACACAGATTCTAAAACTGATACTGATATTACCAGTCCATGTGATGCACACGGGTTTTCTGCTGAAAAAAGTTTGTAAAATGAGCTGGTATTCTTTTTAGTGTAGCAGTCGTTCCGGTTTTTTTCCATCTTTTCATTGATGTGCCGCAAGGAAAACACACACATGGCAGATTTCAGAGAGCCGTTATCTTTGTTTACTTTGCTGAAGAGTGCAAGAAGAACTTTGTCATCTGAGAGAGCATCCGTAGCTTGTCTCTGCTGAGCCATGCTCTCAGCCAACTCCTCTCCCGGGGTAGTGACGTAAGCAGAATGACAGTGGTCATACGCACCATCATCATCTTTGCAACCCAGGTCCATTTCAAAGTAGGAATAATAATGGGCGTCATCTTTGCACAGACGCGCAATCAGTGTGCGGTTATTGACAGGCTGTTTCTCTTGCTGATTAAAAATAAAATAAACATAATTTTTATCCTCAAAGACTGCCACAAACTGTTGTGTGCTTGACGAGTGGTAAGCTGACTTAACAGCTGCCGAGTCTGTATACATTTCAAAAATGTCTTTTCCATCCCTTTCGTAGAGCTGCCGAGTGCTGATTATTATCCCGTTATCATTTGGTCCGTTCCCTTTCCCAACAAACAGCACTCGGTCGTTATTCAAGGAAGTGATCAATCCCACAGTTGATACATTCTCATCGTTGCTTGCTACAAAGGACTTTTCTCCGCAGTAGTCTACATAATACGTCTGATTGCTAATGTCTTCTAGATCTCTGATGGCACAGATTCCCTTAAAAAGGCTTCCACACACCACAATTGTTTTATCCGCCTTGTTCAGCAACAGTAATTTGTTATAATTGTCAGTCAGTACGGCCTCTTTACACTGATTTTCATCAATGGGAGGTGTGCACTTTTTGTTGTCCTTTTTTGGACCTGTTCTTACAAACCTGATTACATCCAGGTTTTCTGTAAGCTGGTACAGAGCATTTACCACTCCCAAATAGATTATCCCAGTGTCATTATCCACTGTTAGATGGTTTAGCTCCGTAGCACTCTGAAAAAATTTCAGTTCCTCATTTTTGGATAAGGTGATGCAAATACAGCTCAAAATGCTCAATGTCTGGATCCATAAAGCCATTTCTATGTAATACCTAAAATGGGAAAGAAAAGAACAACATGAAACACATGGAAACCCAAAATTTACAAGAATTTAGCAACATGAAAGGTTTTTTCTTTCGTGATTTCAGACACAAATACACTTATCCTTATGCATGTGTAGACATCATGAAGATTCTGGAAAGCCTCAAATCCTGTTAACTGCCTAGCAATTTACTGTGTCGGGGAAGGATTAAACAAGGTCATATGTCTAATTGATTATCTTATAGCCAATTAGATAATCAATCTTGTGCTAAAGCACAATGAGAACAACAGGCAATTTGAAACAATGCAGGGTGACAAGAGGTGGTAGTGCTTCTCCTGACAGTTTCATACTGTGCGAATTATTTATTGTTGGAATTTTAAAAATAAGCTGGAGGATCCCAGTTTTTCGGGTTGCTCCTCCTTAACAGAGAGGAAGAATTTACATGGAAGTGTTTGAGACATTTGATGTTGCAGGACTTTCCTCCCAAATGAAAAAACCTTCCATTGACTACCATAAGTCTGGATTTGGCTGCTGCTGCTCTCGGAGAAGGCGTTACACTAATCCTTCATGAATGTAAAGCTGGAAGATGATAGAGCCCTTAATACGCAACATTGCCTTTGACTGCTCATATGCCTTACAGTCCACTGCAACTTAACAGTTTCAAATCTCTCTTAAGAACATAATTTACAGTTTTATGGGCTTAAGATTCTGTTACTGTTGGGTTTTTTCCCTCCAGAATTCTTACCTCCCAAGCAAATCACCTGGCTGTTTGGAATTAGACAAAGACCTTCTGAAACATAAGGAGGACTCTAATTTTAACCTGAAGAGTTAAATGGGGAGGCAAGTCCCAACTGGCTTCCTAAGCACAGAATATTTTGTCAGTATTTTCTGCAAGTGTTTAGTTCTGAGAGTAGAAAACAGAAGGTGGCATGCTTGGACACACTGATGTTACAGGGAAAAGACAAATACTCTTTGGAGGAAGTACTGAAAAACAAATATGACCCACAGTATTTCCATTTGCAAAGTTAGGCATGTGACTCCATAATCTGATGAGGAAAGAACCTGTAGATTTACAGGGGATCTCAAGTTCAATCTGAAAACATTTGGAACTGTGAATTGAAAGGAATAAACAAAACCCCACAAAAGACAAGAGAAACACTTAACAAAGTAATCTAAGAGGCAAAAGCCTTGCAGGAGGAAGAAAATAGCACAGAATGCCAAAACAACTGAAAAAAAAAAAAAGAAGAAAAATAATAACAATAATAATAAGGGAACCATGCTCCTGTGTCAGCTCTAACTTCTGTTTTGGCAGCAGCAATAGAATCTGGTGGGATGTGAAAGAAAATTGCCTGAATCACCATTTACACCGGATACTGAAGTTAAATGTCAACAACCAGGCTGCAAAAGCTTGAGCATGGAGGGAAGAACCCCAGTCCCCAGCTTGGAGACTGCCAGCTCCCCAAACCACCCTGCATCGCCAGCAATGCAGAAAGACAACTCCTGCCCTCCAGTATCATCTGCAGTTTGCTCCTCTAAGGAGAAGACGTGTGGGCAATGGTGAGAACAGCTTTTCTAAAAGCAGAGTGATTCTAATTTCTAAAAACCAAAAAAATTACTAAATGTAATTCAGGATAGTAACGAAGACAAAATAAAAGGCTAACTTCAATCTTATTTTTCTAAAGCTCTTACGTACCAAACCGAGTAGCTAACTGCAAAATGAGGTCAAAGCAGAGACAGTCCATTACCAACAGCACAAGCCTGTCTTTCTAATGATAGGTTGACCTCACAGGACAGTGACCAAGAAGAGGCTAAGAATTATAACCCATTCTTCAGACGCACATGCCTTGCACTGTAATAAAGTGTTGGACCTTTCTACAATCGCCTTACATCTGCTCTAAGGAACCCAAACAAATTCTGATATTATTAGTCAGAAAGTCCTCTTTTCTTCCTGTTTCCAAAGAACTCAATTTCCCAAACAAGCTCTGATCCCAACTTACATCTCTGTGGCTAAATGGTATGTCATAATGCATGTCATCTAGTTTCAAATATTTTCACTTGCAGTTATCTGCAATGAAATAAAAAAACAGCTTGACATACTACTGCAATGTTGTTTCATAACACTTCTATCATTCTACTGTCTACTGCACAAGGATCAAAAGCCAAAGGATTCTGATTCATTTGTTTCTGTTTTTCCTACAAGGTAATTATTGTTATATTATTATAATCTCGGCTCTCAGTCAAAAAAGCCATAAATAGCTCTACTTATCAAATATGCCTCAAACAGATGGAAAGTAAATTATTGTGCCTTAATTTCTGTACTTGGTTCACCTCCATGTCCACTGATTTCAGTGGATTAAAAAAACATTTGGCCTATTTGCGGCACTCAGACATAGAGGCTGCACTAGCAATACACCTGCCTTCGTCCCACGGGCAGAACAAAGAGCCTTGCTGGTTCATACCAGAGCCAGGATTTAAGGAAAAGTACATCTTGCACCTCTAAACCAGACTTTAATGGGAGTAATTAATCTCTTTGTTCAAAAATGGGTAATGCTTCCTCCCTACTATTTTCTGCCTTGTTTACTTATCAAAGTTTTTACTTAAATTATTCAGGAGTACATGCATTCTCCATAAATTCTGCCTTTTTTTCTGCCATTTACTCCCTGCCACGCCAGTTGCATGCCAAACACCTTAAGATTATCTCAGACCTCCATGCAAGGTACACAGTTCTTTATTCTCCAAAGCTGCCAGTTTCATTTCCTGTCCCCCCCTTCAAAGCAAACAGTAAAAAAAAAAATTAAATATGTTATGGAAAATACCCAGAACTAAATTCCTATGCACTTCTCAAACACCAGGCTTAAGGAAAGAAAAAAGCAAACAAAATTAAATGAGATGCACTACAACCACAGCTCATTCTCACCTGATCTTAACTTAATCGGGAAGTAACAGCTGGAGGAATCCTGCTATGACCCGCTGATGTGGGGTTGCTATTAACACAGACGCCCTGCTGAGTTAGGTGCTATGGAAATGTATCAAGGCACAGTCTCCTGCTGCGAAAAACTTCTGTTTTAAAAGAACAAGTCACAGAAACACAAGATAAAATGAATAACAAGCCTAGGCTGGAGCATGGAATCCAAGATGTTCAGCATGACAAATTTCCAACAGCTTAATCACATACTTCAGTTACACGTGGGCCTGCGTGGCTTACTCAAAGTCATGTCCTGGTCCTCAGAGCTGACATACAGCCTCTGACCTCAGTTTGCTCTTAGTCTTGGGCCCTTGGCACACTCAGGATAAAAGAAGCCCAACAGAGCAGTTGATCACATAATTTTTTTCTCTCTCACAAAGTCTTGCCTCCATCCTGCCTCTTGCTCTCCACGCCCATGATATCACTAGAATCATCTTTATCACTCTCCCATCAAGATTACCAGAATTACAAAGTAATTTCCTTTTTGAATTCCTCTTTTTTTCATTATTAACTTCCCTATCCCTTCCCCCATCTTAAAACCTACTCCTCTTCTGGTCCATATACCTTACGGACAACTGATGGTGATTTTGATGAATATCCTAGAAGCATGGCAGTAATAATAAGCACACTCCCAAAGCAGAAAAAACTTCGTATAAAAAGGTGCATGCTAGTTAAAAAGAAAGTGTGGATAACATACAGCCCCTTCCCAGTCTCTCAGAGACTGTACAGGTGATAAGGAAAGTGGGATTGCAGCAACCAGGCACTTGTAAAGAAACCCACCCAAAAAAAGCATCTTGCCACTTACAAGAAGCATGAAATTCTGCAAGTTCCATGTGGGAAACGCAGAGCACTCAAGAGAACACTTCAACTGCCAGAAAGCGACACCGTGTTGGAATGACTGAGTTAGCAGCACTCGGACCCACTGCTAGCTAGATCAGTTTGAATTTAAGTACCCATAACTTTACGTCTTTCTACTCAAGCAAGGCCAATAACCTTATTAACCTTCAAAAGGCATGCAGAAAATAAAAAAAGAGCATCTATAATCTACAAGTACAAAGTGAGTTTCAAATTGACTTCTGAGTGTTATAAATACCCCTAAGAATTAGCACAAGCAACATGCTGACATGGATGTGGCAGGTGTTTTCCTCCTTCACTGTACAATCCTCTGCTGTACCTGCACATGGGAACCTCCAACTTTTCATTCATGCCCAGTCACCCTTTTTCAGCCTTCAACATAACTTTAGCTTTATGTTACTTTGTTTCTTATATTCATTTCAGATGAAATGAAAGAATACTATGTTTTGCCTGAAATTAGAATAACTGAGAACTAAACCAAATGACATTCCCATAAATGATGGGCAAGGAATCCTTCAGTGAGGGAATAATCTCACCAGTTTAGCTTCTGTCATGTTTTTGCAGAATTGTTCCTATCTAACCATCCATCCATCCTGAATTAAACTCTGTTACCTCATCTCATCCAGACCAAGTTTTCATACTTGAAATTCTGCGTCTAGAGACAAATGCTTCTGCCAAGAGAGGTAGATACTGATGGGCTTTAATAGTAAGTGTTGCAGATAACTCGGGTTCAACAAGGCCATGTGCTGGGTCCTGCACTTGGGTCACAACCACCCCCTGCAGCGCTACAGGCTTGGCAACGAGTGGCTGGAAAACTGCCCTGCAGAAAAGGACCTGGGGCTGTTGGTCAACAGCAACTGAACATGAGCCAGCAGTGTGCCCAGGTGGCCAAGGAGGCCAAGGGCATCCTGGCCTGCATCAGGAACAGTGTGGCCAGCAGGAGTAGGGCAGGGATTGTCCCCCTGTACTGGGCACTGGTGAGGCTGCACCTCGAATGCTGTGTTTGGTTTTGGGCCCCTCACTACAAGAAAGAGACTGAGGTGCTGGAGCATGTCCAGAGAAGGGCAACAGAGCCAGTGAAGGGTCTGGAGCACAAGTCCTGTGAGGAGCAGCTGAGGAAAGTGGGGCTGTTTAGTCTGGGGAAGAGGAGGCTCAGGGGAGACCTTATCGCCCTTTA